TTCCATTGTGGATGTTTTAAAAAAAAAAAAAAAAAATTCTTATAACTGAATGGATGAAAGTCAAATCAGAATTCAGTTAAACAGAAATGCTTCTGAAAATTGTTCTTGCTGGGATATTCTTAAATAGATGTTCGATTTGCATTTTCTAGTTTGGGATAAGCTGTACAGATCTAGAGTTCGTGAAGGAAGGAGCCATGTGACAGTCCCACTGTGGTCCAACAGGGGGCGTGGTTTAGTCAGCAAAAAATAAAAAAAACCTGAATCATGAATTGTAACATTGAAGACCTATACGTGAAGAAATGCCACTTTTATTGTGTGTGTGTTTCGAGACCAAGAGTATGCCTACTGGTTTAGGTTTGATTACTGGTAACATTGGTTACAGTGATGTAATATGTTTTTATTTGTCCTCTGTCGAATGCTGTACAGGAAGCTGCTTTGTCAGCATGTCAAGAAATGATTGCCACTGATTTCATTTATTTTCTTTTTCTTCTTTTTTTTACGTCCTGTACAGTTCACTTTTTTCAAATAAAATTGCTTGTGTCAATGCATTCTGTTTTGTTTGTTTTTTTTGCTGTGAATATGGCATGTGTAGTTTTATCTGTATGTAACACATTTATATTTTAACAATCGGACTCCTTCTTAAAGGCTAATTTTTTGTTTGAGACGTTTCTGTAATCCTCAAATCAGATGAAAAGATAAGAGATACCGTCGTCATTTTTCTTCATCATCAGATACACTGCAAACGCATGCAACAACCAGCCACAAAATTAAAACTCCACACGGATGCAACCATCTGCCGCAACTGGGGGATGAGGGGAAGGAAAAAAGAACAAGGAAACTAGAAACAAGTACAAATATGGCAGTTGGACTGGTACTTATATGGCACTTTTCTGCTCTCATTGACCACTCAAAAGACTTAGCACTACAAGCCTCATTCACCCAGTCACACATGCATCCAGACAAGCACTTTAATCTAATATTCACACACACTACACAGATGCAGTGCAGGGTTATTCTCCTGAACTACCACACTGAAATGACTTAATACCAAAGCGCTGATTTGTTTGATTTTTTTCTGTTCAGCTAAGTATGTAGACTTTGAGAACTCCCAATCATAGTAAATGATAGAGAACTGACAACATTTTATATAAGAAAATTCCAAATAGTCTAAACAATAAAAACTCTCATTTGGTTTGAACCCAGCGCTGTAGCAACAGAGAATCAGAGATGAGCAAAAACTGCTGATTATTATTATTTATTTATTTAATTAATGTGTGTGGTTCTAGTTTGATTAAAGCTGTGGTGCCCTAGTGTTTAAAAGGGAAACTATATATTTGTAACTGACTTTAAAAGGTTTATGTCTCCTGTAATAAATAGTCTTAGGAGTAAATGTGTTGTCTTGAAGATAGACTTTTCAGTGCTGACATTTTGGGGAAAATTTACTCTCTAGGATAAGGAGAAGAAAATGGATAGCTGGATTGAAAATTCAGAATGTGGGTTTGGAATATTTCTACATTGTGATACTGCTACTTTTTTAGAAACTTAAAAAAAACTTCCTCTGTTTGAATATTCTAGCATAAAAAGCTGAACCACTATTAGTCATAGTATAAATGATGAGTAAGAGTTCTAAAACAGCTATTTTAGAACTCATAAGGATAAAAGGAAATAATGGTGCCCAAAGAAGCCATTTTCTTGCAATGTTGATTGGAAGCCAGTAGGTGTCACCATTTGATCAAACAAAAGGTGGCCCTTCTTTTATATACAGTTTACAACCTTAGCTCTCAGTGACCATTGTCATCACCATCTTCAATTCCAGTCTAGTTTAGGTTTAGGTAGCTGGTGGTGCACGAGTACTTCACGGGTTTTAAAGGTTCAAGATTAGCTCTTGTCTGTCCACTTGTTCTTAGACTGTGCACAATGCAGGGCACTGTATTAGTGTTTTAATAGCCATGAAAATGCACAGGTATCTACCTCGTGTTTACGGGAAAATGAAGCATATGATATGTACTTGTGTGACGCATCCCACATTTTTTTGCAGACAGATCCATTCTGATGGCAGCAGGAGGGAGAAAAGACAGATGGAGGGTGTGTGCGCACACGTGTGTGTGCATGTGTGTCCTTAAGTGTGAATGCATGTGTTTGTGTGCTTTTGCCAATGTATGTCTATGTATAGCACAACACAGATGTTGCAGGAACACTGCTGTTGGTGGTTATTCCCCTAATGAAGAATGCAATAGTGACATTAAGAAGGCAATAATCCTGAGGAAGAGGTCAGCTTTTTCCAGTCAAACAATTTGTCTCAAAAAAGATAAAGTTGAAAAATGATTACATCTACATCAGCTATGCTTGTAAGCATAAAGGAACCAAACAAAAAAGAACACAATAGAATCAGACACAATAGGATGCTCTGCAATCTGCTAAGGCAAAAAAAATAAAAATAAAATAAAAAATTATAATTTGCTTGTGTCTTTGTCTTCCCTTTCCATACAGTTCCATAGGCGTAACATGTTATGGATGTAATCTCTAAGAGGATTCGCCCTGCTTGGTATCATGGTACATGTTAATTTCTGCTCTTTATGTTCCTTATTGAAACAGACCCTAGATCTCCCAGACCTGAAAGCCAGTCGGCCAGCCAACCGTCATCAATTCACCCCTAATCTCTACCCCCACTCTTTCTATAGCTAATCTGTTGTGTTGGTCATTGTCATCTGATCGTGTGTGACCTTGGCTGCTCGATTTGCTGCTGCCTGGTAGCATAACGTTAACAACTGCTGTCCATTGCAGCCAGATATTAGTGGAAGAAAGTGATGATTCCTATTTTTCATCTAACCTGAAAGGAGAACATGACTAAAAATTGGGTAGATATACTGTATGTGTGTTGAAGGTGGAGCATGATAGCAGGCCGATCGGGTCACCAATCTTCTTTCATAGAATGAAATTGTAAGCTAATTAAGAATAATCCAGTTCAGATATCTGATAATTACATATGTTTTAACTCATATTTTGAGCACAGCAATAAAATTGTTATTAAAACTGGTATGTAAAGCCTGGTATTGGATAATGAAAAATAAAAAGAAGAGAAAGAGGAAGAAAAGAACTGCAGCATGATAATTAGATTAGTCCTTTTTTTTTAAAACTTCAAATAGGCCCTTTCAAAAAAATCTTGCAGAAGATGCACATTTGAGCCATCAGTTGGCTTCCTTTAACATGTAAAGCAGAGAAAATGTGATTTGAAGTTTTAGGAATAATGCATGTGAAAAAAAGATTCAGGTTTACTCAGTACTGAACTGAAGGCGTCATGGTCACTGCTGTGACTGTTCTTTAAACAGAAGCAAGTAAAATCCGTCTTTGTTCCACAGAAATGTGGCACACTATGCATAACAGCTGTACATGAACCTCAACACAGCTTAGCAAATGTGACATGACAAGCAGCGATGGTGTGATCATTACTGGATAACTCACTCTATAACCATGAAACTTATGGCCATAAAAATCCCACCCACACCTCTGAGCTCGCCCCGTGGCTGTTTTCACTCGTCTGGATACTTCTCATTGCAGCAGGGACAAAAGACTGCAATCATAATCATCATGTCTTCATTTTCTTTCAGAACGGCCACTGCAACCTCCGCCATCAGAGTACTCCCGGATTTTCCCGCCTGTGTCCCCACCCACACCTCACACTCCCCTCACACCCTCCAGGCCCCTGGTCGATCTGTCTATCTGCCCCTGCAGTGACTCCTCATTAACACATGAATAAAGACGAGGAAGGGCCTGCTAAGGCTTGGACGCCAACAGACGGCAGCAGATTTGCAATTCAAACCTCTGACCATCTCCTCTCCCACCCCCTCCTCATCCTTCACATTCTGTAACCTATGCTAGGGCTGGAACTGTCACCAGCATGACTGAGGATGCATGTGTGAAAGGTGCAATAGACAGTGTAGTTCCAAGCTTATGCATGCTTTAGTATTAATAGGCAGAGTGCAAATACATGTTGACGAGAGAGAACTAATACCTTCTAATTAAAATAAGGTAAAGTACAAGGGAGTATCAGCTTTTAAAAGGGAACAATAGCATGGAGTAATATTTGCCTTACAAATATGAAACATTTCAAAGGCCTTAATATACAAGAGAATAACTCAAAATGTAGATAAAGAAATTTTTAATTTAAAACACATTCTAATTTTCACAACTACGAAACATTTAACTACAGCTAAAAAACTAAACAAGGTTTAATTCACACTTTCAAATATAAACCCCTAAACTGGAGTCCCCTCCTTAAAATTTTTGTGACTATCTTGCACAGTGGCAGTGCTGTCATGTTGACTTATACGAGTATACACCTACCAATTTGCAGTAGCTGTTACACTCCCAAGGTGATAGATAAAGATGCTCCAGGGAGTTACAAATCAAAAAGTGTGTGGCACAGTGGCATTACATGGAAAGGGTGCCTTCCTACTTCCCTCCACCACTCCTCCCAGTACTGCCATACAGAATTCATGAGTTGGATCACACCCATATTTAAACTCAGCCTTCATTTACGTCCAAGGTAGACGCCTGTAAGATATTTTAAGTCTGACTTGCAAGGTTGTGACTTGAGCTCTTTGACAAAATGTGTCCACAGACAGACATATCTACACAAGAACTCAAAACCGCTTCTTATCATTACATCAAGTAAAAGTAACCGATTTAATTGTTCACAAACAAGTAAATTAATAAAACCAGTAACCTAGTAACTTTTAATGGAATTCAAATAAATGTTTGTATAGTTTACTTACAGTCTGCATATGAATCCATATTTTAGTGGTTTGTTTAATAAATAATAAATATGTTTGTTTCCAACGCAATAATAATAATAATAATAATAATAATGATAATAATAATAATAATAATAATAATAATAATAATGTATGATTTAAACAGATTGACGGTTACGTCTCCACGTGATTTGACAGAAAACGATAATAATTTGCCGCTTCCAAATACGTCATTTCCGACTTCCCCTCCAATACTTCCTGCATGTGCCGACAATATGGCAGCGTCCATAGCGATTCATCTGGAGTTTGGGTAAGCGACTATCGAGTGTGTGTGTTCGTCTCTGAGTTACACAGACAGAGCCTCGCTGTTAGCTTAAGACGGTTATCGTGTGAACAGGGAGAAAACGCTCTCAGCTGCATAACTGAAAACTGCTGTAGCGGAAAGTCCTGCCAGCCGACTGCCTCCTCCACTGCTTGATACTCGTTTACTCAGCACGGAGTCTTTCCCAACGTTGTACCAAAAAGTAATTTCCGGTGTTCCAAAAAAAAAAGAAAAAAGTTTGCTGGAATTTAAATGGTTATGGATGACTTTTTGCCTATAATCTGTCAAAAATATGTCAATATGACATATCGCTCATGAATGATATCAATTAATCATGAGCTTGAGAGAGCGTTTCTGTCACAAGGACGAAGCTGCAGTCAGTTTTTTTTTTAAACAAATAGACTTTCATTTGATCTTTTTTTTTAAATCCGGGTAGAAAGTCTCATTGAAATTAAAATGTATTATTTTTTTAAGATGAATCTGGCCAAGAGGGCAGCAGACATCGCAATAAAGATAACATAACAGTTCTCTAAACATTAGTGACCAAAAAGGACTACCGGTAGATCGATGTAGGTACAATTGCAGTCATAAAAATACTTGCAAAACATTTCTTTGTTTTATCTTTATTTTATATGTAACGAATTCATATATCCTGTTCATTACAGTCTATATAGAAACATTGTAAATCACTTTTTGGCAGATGATGGTACTAGACTGACAAACTCGGTAAGTAAGATTAATCTAGAGTGCTGAGTATAAGGTAACCAGTAGAAGTACTATCAACGACTACTGTGAACCTCAGACTTTGGCTAGAGTCAGAATTGCTTGAGAAAATAAGGATTTGAGACTAGTTGTCCTAGACTGATACAAGTGCAAACTGAAAGAAAGCAATATCAAATCTAAGCACACGTAATGTGATTTTCTATGATGCAAAGAGATGACAAATTTAAGGAAACCCCCTAAACTACAGTCTAACGATCTGATGGCTCTGCTACACAGTGGCAGTTTCACTTACAGGGTCCTTGCAAATAACTGTCAAGTTCTGATTGCTTGCCTTCATCCACTGACAATACATTTGCAACCTGATGGCAGTATGTCTTTGGACTCTGGGAGGAAGCTGGAATACCGAGAGAGAACATGTGCACGCATGGGTAAAACATAGAAAGTTAAATTACATCTGAACCTGGCTTTCTGTGAGGCAATGGTGAAAAAAGAGAAAATACTGCCATGAAGCTGTATTGCATCACTAGCCACAAAAAATGTAACAAAATGTAATGCAATGAAAATGGTCAACCTACAAAGGGCTTAATTCAAAGACAATGTGAAAATCAAAGTGATTAAAAATAACTTCAAATGGTCATTTGTATGGCTCCCACATGCTTGTGTGCATACCTGACAACATTGGGGCATGCTCCTAATGAGATGATGGTGAGACGATAGTGTCTGAGGGTATCTCCTCCCAGATCTGGACCAGGGCATCGCTGAGCTCCTGGACATGGTGATGGAACATAGTGTCCTCAAGGTGTTCTGTTGGATTTAGGCCAGGCGAGCGTGGGGGCTGGTCAGTGGTATCAATTCCTTCATCCTCAAAGAACTGCCTTCATATGCTCACCACATGAGTCCAGGCATTGTTGTGCACCAGCAGAAACTCAGGACCTACTGCATCAGTGTTGGGTCTGACACTGGATCCAAAGGTTTTATGCTAATATCTAATGGCTGTCAGGCTGCCTAGCGTGTAGAAGTCTTTGGGTCCTTCCATGGATATGCCTCCCCAGACCATCACTGACACACAAGTAAACTAGTCAATGCTACAGGCGGCATGGCTTTTCTAGACCCTTTCATGTCTGTCAGATGTGCACAGGGTGAATCCGCTCTCATCTGCGAAGAGCACAGGGCCCAATATAGGGTGTCAGACCATCGGACCTCATGAAGTCTGTCTCTGACTAAAGAAGCATAAACAGTCTCATCAGTGGCCTGGTGGAGGTCATGTTGCAGGGTACTGGCAGTCCTTTCTATGTTCCTCCTTGCACAAATGACCAGATATGTGTTAAGGGCCTTCTATGGCCTTGTCCAGCTCTCCTAGAGTAACTGCCTGAATCCTGGAATCTCCTCCATGATCTTGGGACTGGGCTGAGAGACCGAGCAAACATTTTGGCAGTGGCATGTATTGATGTGCCAACCTGGAGGAGTTGGACTACCTGGGTAACCTCTGTAGGGTTCAGGTATCATCTCAACACTACTAATAGTGACAATGACCCAAATGTAAAAGTAGTAAACAAACAGTCTGAAAAGATGAAGAGGAACACCAAAGCTGTGGAAACTGATTAGTAATTTTATTTTAGTAGGTAATTCAGACACGGGCCTAAGTTGGCAGCATAACCTTTAAAGCAGAAAAACAAAGAAATTGTATAGATAATATACACAGCTCACAAGTAATGTTGTTTCATAGACCTGTGGAGGGTACATAAGATTTATGTCCTCTCCACTGAGGGGTGACGGTGTCACTGTGTCTGATTTTATTGGCTCTACAATCACTATCAATCTGCCAGAGACTGCAAAAAAAGTATCCTACATAATAATTAAACTGCATTAGATGTAATCATCTATTTCTACACTATGTTTTGTAGTCTTTTGTTTTACCTATTAAAATAAATGTTTTTCTCCCCAAGTCCTTTCTGTTCTACCTTTTCTAACTATGTTGTTATAATTATTTTAAATGTGATTGTAATTGTAGACGTTATAAATGCCTAGCTTTGGTAGTTATTCGATGAAGTGCCACACACACATTCTTTATTTGCATATCTGCTCTTTCTTTGTATAGAGGAGGAGCAGAGCTGCTATTTAATGGTGTGAAGAAGCATCACGTGACTCTTCCAAGCCAGTCAGAACCTTGTAAGTATCACCAGTCCCCTGTTTGTACACGTCAAAATTAGAGCCTAAAAGACTTCCACTGTTTGCATCAGTGTCCATTAAACCTTAAGGACCATACCGTTGTTTCTGAGTTCTGACAAATCAAAGAAAGCTGCTAGTACCCAATACGTGTTCATGGTGGTACATTTATATATACAGCACAGCTTGACTGTTGAAGAAAAAAACTGTACACTTATCAGTCTTTGTTTTGATGCACAGAGTGGTCTGCAGGTCCTCTGTCTAGCAGTGCACAGATGCACTGCCTTTGTTTGTTCACAGCAGGCAATTTGTAATCCTGTGCATGTGTTAATGAGAACTTTTTAATGTGCAAAAATGTCTAATATTTGCTTTGGAAAGGATAGGCAGGGATTTAAAGAGATGATTATTTGATTATTTCTACATTGCAAGTTTTGTACCTCTGGCTCCAAACAGATTGGATTAATACAGGTCATTCAGCCTAGAAGAAAGGAAAACCTGCCTTCAGCTTGACTTTTTCCTCCCCAGAAAATCAACTTAGGACCAGGGTCATTGAGGAAAATGAGTATATTAAAAATATGGCTGCTTAGAGGTTAAAATGAGTAGTAAATTTATTGAAAACATATGTGTGCGTGTCACAGAAACGGCGGACAAACCAGAGAAATATGTGTCTTTGGTATTTGTTTAAACAAAGGGTGTTCATCCATGGTCCTGACGTTACCACGACAACAAAAAGACAAAAGTTGACCAGAACAGGGAATGTCAGCTTCATGTGACCTTGCTGTGCCAGCTGACCCGTGTGTGTGTGTGTGTGTGTGTGTGTGTGTGTGTGAGTGTGTGAGAGTGAGAGAAAGAAAGAGGTGATGTTTTGCTTTATAGCATAGCTCTGGGTTTTAAAGACACAGGTGTACACACATTCTGACAGAACACTTCTTGCCTCTGTTCTCGTGATGTTAGGCGTAGCTTCGCTCAGTAGGTTTGCTGATCCTGGAAATGTTGCTACAAACCAGCAGACGTCTGAGTGTGTGCGTGAGAGTGTGTGTGGGTTCAGAGAGGGTGCAATTGGGACAGATATAATGGGTTCTGAATCCTTCGTATTTCTTTTTTGACCCCAGCCGGTGATTGATGACCCTCAACTGAAAAACCCCACCCCCTCTCTTTCTCTATCTCACCCTCTCTCACGCAACAAAACCCCCATAGTCTAAGGACCACGCCATTTTTGCCCGTCACATCAGCAAAAAGATGGATAGCTCATCCCACTCGCACGATTGTCGTAATTGCACAAAGGCAGAAAAGCAAAAAATTAAAAAAGACCGGCACCAAAGGAAAGGGAAAAGCAGCAATGGTTTTAAATCGACATCAAAATGGCGCCCTTTCTCTCCCCTCCCTCTGTGTCTGCTTTTCGCCCACGCAACGCCGCAATCCCAGGATGCATTACGAGCTTGTGACGCACTTTCTCTCTGCCTTGTCTGTTTGGTCCCTCATTTTCTTTTCCCCTCTACCTGGACCATAAAGCCTGAACCTCGAAGCTTCTCCGCAACCTCCATCTTTTCCTTTTTCATCTCCCAACCTAATTTCTATACATTGTCTCTTAACTGTAAAGCACTGCATCCATATAAGTCTTTCTTTTGGGTTCAGGCTGGGGTTGATTTATATTTGTAGGCCTGTGTAACATTTTACAAGAAATCGATTGAAAAGGCAGTGCCTGATGTTTCCTCTTAAAAATAAATAAATTTAAAAAAGCGCTTAATTGATTAAAGTCTGAATTATCACTAATCTGTATATTGAGCTAAAGCAACCCTGCTTTATTTTCTATGTGAAACTTTTAGTATGTTTGCCTGTTTGTTTAAAGACTGGAATATAAAAGAAGAGGCAAAAAATGTATATAAGTGATGGGGAAAGAGGGGGAAGAGTGCTTTTATGAGTGTATGTGTGGGTGAGAAAGAGAGAGATGCAGAAAGAGAGAGCCAAAGAAAAAAGTAAATGGCTGAGAGGATGAAAGCGTGAATAAGAGGTAATGGTGGGGAAAAATACTAATAGTCAAAGGCAGGCAGGAGTGTAAAGAAAGGAGTCACCACAAAGAAGGAGTTATGACTGCTGTAGTGATTAGTTCTGTTTTTAGCCCCACAGAGGTGCAGGTCAATATTCCCTGCCTTGTACATTTTGTGTGTGTGTGTGTGTGTGTGTGTGTGTGTGCACATGTTGCAAAGGGGGAGCTATTTCTTTTTTTATATGAAGTCCTGCAACCACAGAGAACTAGCTCTGTCATTATACTACTGAGTTGGCAGACAGCTCTACAATTAACCTGCACACAGGCTTGAAACTGCACGTGCCTGACCTCACTCCCAAAGATCTTATGCATCACGTTTTATGCCTTTGTAAATCTCAATGTTTTAATGTATTTATATATATTAGTGTTATTTTTTATGTGTTACTTTATTCAGTCACTGTTGTTTAATCTTGATTTTATGAAAGAATAATTAAACCCTGAACTCTTTTTGTCATATAGTAGCACATGAGCCCCATTGCAATGCCTGTCTCTGTGTAATCTCTTACCCTGGATCCTGCTAAATGCTAACTGAAAGTGTGCATTATAAATGAGCAGAATAATGCATTGAAAAAAGTAAAGCAAATCCAAATGTGCCTCCCTGTGATTGTGTTATTATGATTTTTAGCTCTGCCTTTGATCCGTCTGAACTCTTGGATCTCTGAGTGATTCATTGCCTACCTGGTACAGATTCTTCTCTTTACACCTGGCTTTGGAGGACTCAGTGTCATCCACTCATCCTCATATGTGCTGCCGCACTCCTCCTCGCTTTGGAGTATTTGTTCTTCCTCTGCACTGTTTATTTCTCTCCCTTTTTCCTTGTACATTTCCGTCCCCTCGTCTCCTCTGTTCATTCGCTCCTGTGTAAACTGGTCAAGGAGGCCATTTCTGCTTAGTTGATAGGGCGTCTGTGTGTATCATATGGCTACCAGCGATTGCAGATTGGCTCTGAATTGTTTTCACGATTCGACAACCCCAATGTACGTCAAGTAGACAGCTTTGATCGGACACACACAAACACGCAGACACATAACCAGAAAACACTCATAAGAAAAAACAATAAATTTCTGCGATTGTGTGCGTGTTTTACTTCTGTTGCAGTTTTGTGTGCTCACGTTAGATCAGTGCACCATATTTAAACGAACCCCAGCTAACGCCCAGACACCTTGAATCTTAACGTTAAAGAGAGCCATAACTCTAATATATATTCATTGTTATTCATTTAGCAGGGATTTACTCTAAAACCTCTCGTTGCCGTTGGCTTTTGGGGCCGTCATTAGCTCAGGCTTTTGTTGAGGGAAGGTCAATCTGATTGTTCAAGAGGTCAGACTCATAGAAAATTCAAGTAACGCTGATGTTCAAGCTCAGACATTGCATTTAATGTGTGACAGCAAAGTTGCTACTCTGAAAATCTGGTTTTGCGTTTGATTTTGTTTGTTTAGTACTTACAAAACAAATCACCTTAATTACAAAGTTTCAGATAAATTGATATTAGTCTTACATGATTTGAAAAAAATCTATGTATTTACATTTTTCCTTACTATTTTAATATAATGAAATAATACATTTCAGTTAATACAATGAAATTTCAGGCTTTAGATTGTCCATTTGATCATTTATACACTAAAATAATTTCTTTTATTTCTTTCTACCAAGGTGAAAAATGTTGCTCTTGGCCATTGACATCAGACAACCTTCCCCCATTTTCAGTGTCCTCTCCTTCCCCCCAACATACACATACACTCATAAATATACATGCACCTACACACACACACACACACTTCCTGTCCCTTCTGGTGCCTCTGTCGCGTCACATCGACCAGGGGGCTGGAATCATGCACCTTGACCCTTAACCCTTGATCTATGACCCCTGTCGTCTGCCTGTGTGTGTGTGTGTGTGTGTGTGTGTGTGCACATAAGACATAAATCTGTTTACACAGTCACACAGTGGGGACCTGCCTCTGTTTTGGGCACAAAAATAAGTCTTCAATATGTAAAGCATTGCATTTTAGTAAGCAGTCTCTCTTTAGTTTAAGTAAATATCAGTTATGGTTAGGCTTAGGGTAATTCTCCAGGACATGAATGCAAGTCAATGCAACGTCTTGTGAAGTCATGTGTTTGTGTGTTTTCTAGGGGACATGAAGCAGCTGCTGGTCTGGATCCAAAGGAACCTGCTGAAGGAACGACCTGAGCTGTTCGTCCAAGGAGACTCTGTGTGAGTGCACTGGACACACCTGAAGTAGATATGTAATTCATTACATTACACTGTCATTTGAAAAAAACAACAACAAACAAACTTTCAGACATGATCAGAATAACTCTACGGGAGCATTTTTGCATTTTGGGAACAGTGTGTAGGGGGGGCTTTAAAAAAAAAATCTTTCCAGCAGCTAAAACTGCTGAAATGTTGAGGGGGGGGAGTCTAGCCTTCAGGTTGTAGGTTTCAGTAAGATGATTACCTGTGCACACGCATCACACATGCTTGTGTATTTGTGCTTGTATGCACACACGTGTTTGTGTGTGTGTGGCTCGTGGGCTCACAGCAGCCTCATAGGATTGGCTGACTTTTACAGCTGCCTTTGTGCAGGACTATTTATAGCACCATCTAACCAGTGAATGGAGAAAAAGACGGGTTACCTATAAACCTTATAGAAGAGATGTGTGTTTGTGTGTGCTTTATGCTTGCAGCACACATTGTTTTCTGAGCAAACCATCATTAAGGTGCTGCTTCATTATCTTTTAAAATGCTCCATGGATCCTGTGTGTGTGATATAGTTTACAAGCTTCTCTTTTATTCTTTTGTTCTTTGTCAGCACAGCTTTGTTTTGGGTGTGCATGCATGCTTTTGCAAATGTGTATTTGTTCTCGCAGGTTCCTCTCACAGAGCATCTAAGAGGTGGATAAAGGACAGATGATCACAGGCATTGTGACTTAGTTATCTCTTCAGTAAAGAAAAACCCCCACATTAGCATCTTTTATTAAAAGACAGTTGTCTGTAATCGTTCACAATTATGACAATTGTTTTAAATTTGTTTGTTGTTGTTATTTTTGATACACAGTATATTACATTAGCAGCAATAAGAACAGAAGCAAAGTGGGGGGGGGTTGTGAGTCACCATGGCTGTAACATGGAAATCTCACACATATCTCTGACATGTAATATTCAATAGTCATTTTAAGATTTAAAAATAATAATGATAAAAAGCTGATTTGATTGCTTCCTGTCTCTGCATAGATTTTGACGTTCGGCAGAATTCATCGCTTTTTAAATGTGTTGTCCGTGAATGATATTAGTAGAGTTTGTCAGCCTCTGTCAAAGAAATCCCCATGCCATACACCAACACAAATCTGTAGTTGACAATAGTTATTATTATTATTTTTTTTTAAAATATGTACATATTTTAATAAACCTGTGTGTAAAACATTATAATCGTTTTTTATAATTGTTATTACAGATTGAAATTTGGGAGGGAAAAACATAAAAATCCCATAGTTTCGACTTCTGCTTTAAAAAATTTCATCTTTGTGCAATACTTTATATTTTTTTAAATATTAGGATTTTTATCTCTTTTGTTTTTATTTTAGGTTTTTTTAGGTGTTTATTTATTAATGTATTTTTGTAGTAAATTGATGAAATGTTTGTGTACAGCATGTATGAAATGAGAGCGAGCTACCTGTTTCTACCTTTTACACGCGTGTGTGCCTGTGGTTGAATCTGCGTCGCCTTTGGGAGATACGTCTGACTGAAAATGGTGTTGTGCTTTCCCACAGGAGGCCTGGGATCCTGGTACTTATCAATGATGCAGACTGGGAACTGATGGTGAGCACTGGGAAGTTATGTTTACTGTCAGAATTCGTGGTGTGTGTGTGTGTGTGTGTGTGTGTGTGTGTGTGTGTGTGTGTGTGTGTGTGT